TGTTTGCTGTGTGCTGGTGTTTGGATGGATTTTGTTTCACTGTAAATAAACCTCACAGCATGCACAGTCTGGTCCTAGTTTCCTAAGTGTAGCCACACATATCTAGCTATCCCTGCTGCTGATTCCTGACACCTTTCCTGATGTGCCCCTGGAAAAATCTTCCCCAGAGAAACACATCAAGAAAATTCAGCAGAAGTTGTTTTCCTTACCTACTGTAATTAGAAAAAAAATCCAGCAGTTCCACTTGGGATGGTTGAGAAGACTGTATACTGCTTACATGATCAAACAGTCATATACATAATATTGCCAATGCATCCAAAACCATCAACCTACATGTATCATGATCTCCAAAAAGCATTAAGCTTTAGTTTAGTTTAGGACTATGTAGCATTGAACATAATGTATACAGTGCATCCATCATAGTGCAGACATCAGTACTTTGTAATGTACGTAACAGCTTTCAGAATATCTGTGTTCAGGAATTTGTGCCTCTTTGTGGTGGTAGTCAGGGATAAATGGTGGTGGTTAATAGTGTGTATCTCTTAGATCTTGGTGGATCAGTGGTGAGTGCCTCTGAATAAACAATGAAAAGAAGAAGTGTGAAAGACTTCCAAGGTGCTTTCAAATCCAACCTCAGGAAGAAATACACATTAATTATCAGTTAATATTCATCATTTTATTACAGATACATTGTTAAAAGGGAATAGAATGACAAACTTGTAGTGTCTATAATTAGAACCCTATGCACCCTCCTCATAATGGATCAAAATACATATAACAAAACATGAAGAGTACAAAGACCATAACTGTTCTGTCCTTGCTACATGTTTTCCTGTGTGTAACTCGACATACAGCTAAACCCTCCTATTCAGCAATAAGCCCAACTGAATGCAATCTTGAAGCTCTATTAACAAAACAGGGTGAATGAAACTCATTAGGAAAAACAGATAAGAAATAAAAATGTAAATGTATGAAGCATACAGAACACAATGAAATGTTTAAGCTGTATATGGCAATAAGTCCATGCTCACCAGCAATGCCGCCTGTAAGGGATATAATCCTTTGACAGTGATGCAGAGGTGGCTTTTTAATTAGGCAAATTAGGCAGTTGCCTAAGGCCTCACACTCACAGGGGCCTCCCCCACGGCATGGTTAGCCTAATGTATGGAGGGAGGGAAGCATTGGCATGGCATGGTGTGGCAGCCATTGCAGCCGCGCCATCCCTGGGTCTGATGCTCCAGCCAACCGCAGAAGTCGGGATTTTACTGACAGCACTGCCTGCACTGAAGAGGGAGTGGGATTGGTGCAGCGGGGAACAATTACAGGAACATGCCCAGTATCTGTGTCTCTCACTCCGGCAGCTGAAAGCCGCCACCCCCCCCTCCCCTTCACCTCCCACTAGCTTTCAGCTGCTGGAGGGATAGACAGATAAAGGACATGGTTCCTGTAATTGTTCCCCACTGCAGCGGGCTGTCCAATTCACTCCTGCACCCCACACTATTTTATTATAGTCTCTGTTAGCTGGAGCCATCTCCGCCCAACACATCACGCTGGTAAAGGGAGGACAGGACCTGCGGTCGAGTGTAGCCCTGGAAGAAGTACATGCTGAGTGAGTGCAGGGCTGTGTATGATGAAGGCGGAGGCTGGGCGGGATTGCCGTGTGCCACATTGTAGAGGGGAGTCTGTGGGACTACAATGTGCAGCATGGCTATGGAAAAAGAGCACTTATTGTGAGGCTGGAGGTGGAAGTATGGTGTATCAGTCCCACTCCCACTGTAAATGAGATATCATGTATCTGGATGGCTTTGTCGTGTGAGGAGGAGGAGCTCTGAACATCCTGATATATATATCTGCAACCCTACAGAGGTACAACACCGCCAAAATATCCTAACTATTACATGTCAGCTCCCCCTCTTCTCCATTTACCTCCCCTTCCTCCCCCTGTCCTCTTTCTCCCCTTCCTCCCCTCATTCTCTCTCTCACCATCCTCCTTTTACCATTTTTATCCCCTTCCTCTTTCTCCCCTTCCCGCCCCCGTCCCCTTTCTCCCCTTCCTCCCCCCATCCCCTTTCTCACCTTCCTCCCCCCGTCCCCTTTCTCCCCTTCCTCCCCCCGTCCCCTTTCTCACCTTCCTCCCCCCATCCCCTTTCTCACCTTCCTCCCCCCATCCCCTTTCTCTCCACTGCCCCTTTTTCCCCTTCCTTTCCCTGTCCTCTTCCCTCCATCCTCTTTCTCTTCTTCCTCCCCCTGTCCTCTTTCTGCCCTTTCCCTCTGTCATCTCCCCCCGTCTCTCTCCTCCATCCAAACCGGATATCGTATGTACTCTCCAGCGCCTCAGGATATGCACAGCCAAAAGGGAAGCCAAGGGTACCAGGACAGCGACAACTAAAGGAAATGTTCCAGGGGTGCAGCCCTCTTCAGATGGGGAAATCAGCCAATGGATAGAGAGAAAACAGGTGGCGCGCACACCTAGTGCATTATCCAAGGTTTATTGTAGGAATGAAATAATAAAAACATGCTCACAGACGAAGCATGTATCTAAAAAGCATAGAAAAATGACAATGGCCACAACGGCGGGCAAGGTGTTCTCACTGTCAGTGCGGTCAAATGGCTGATGCATTTAGGGGACGAATCCCTTTCCTCAGAGCTGATGACCAACCTCTGATGCTGATGTATGATGTATGGAAAGAAAGAGCCTCGCTGTTGATGCATCAACGGATGGAAGGGGAATTGGATTTCCATCCGTCCCTTATTGGTGGATCGGATCAGATGTCAACGGGTGTAAACAGACACTCGCCGCTCCATAGAGGAGAATGGAGGTTCTGATTGGGTCCGTCTGAAAAATGGGCAGGCGGACCCGATCGGAATGTCCATGTGAAAGAGCCCTAATACAGCAGCACAACATTCTAGTCTAGGCATGGTGTTGCTCAGGGTGTGGAACCAGATTTGCTTTGCCCATGACAAATCCTATGTGGTTCTGTGCTTTAGCATCTACTGTTTTTAAGTAGGCAACAGCAGCTATTGCTTTGAGAGAAGCATTGGAAAATATAAAAAGTTTTGGCTTTCTACTGCTGTAGAGGGTGTAGGAGCATATGGGAGTGAAACAAGCAGAGTTTCTTTTATCAAGGGGCAGTTGATCATCCCAGTCAGATGTTTAATGAGCTAAGTCTTTAGGCAATGCTTTAACTTAAATGGTGACAGGGGCTGCAAATCCTAATGGATCACACATACTATTAATAGTGGACAAGACACCACTGTGAGTGAAAGGTTTTCCCTCTGTGCTTATTTGAAAGGTAAAGGAATCCAGTTTCAAGCCCCATAGTAGACCAATACTGCATTATACTGGTAAAGAGTCTGTCCCTAGATCTCCCAGAGTGGTCTATGCAATGCGTTTCAAGAAATTTCAGATCTGTGATCATGGATCTGACTGCATTCAATAAGAATTGGTAAGGACAGGCATGTTTGTCCATCAATAGACTTGACTAGGCAAGCAGATGCTCTCCTCCCTGCTGTCTCCACTACTCTTGCACAATTTCTTAAGGAGTAGGGAATGTTGGAACCTTTAATGCAGAATATATCAAATAAGGCTGAGCTGGCTAAAAACATGTTACTTTGATCATCAAGAATTGAATAAAGCTTAATAGCTTTGTTCCTTTTTGCTGGGTAAACTCTGACTAGACAAATTTTGGAGCCACCTTTGATTCCTTTGCAGATATCTGTGCATTGTGAAGTGATCTTGGTGTAGTTGTAACAGTGTGTCCTTCCTCCCTGCAATGCTTATTAGTGCTGTGAGTGTATTGTAAAGTCCATGGGGTTGGCCCAGTGTGTAAAACTGTGTTGTGATCTGAGTTGTCACATTCTGTACAATTTACACTGACCTTACAATCCTTAGCAAAGGGAGATGTCGATGAGCAGCACTCGTAGCAGATGTTGTTCTCCTTCAGAAAGGCTGTGCGATCTTCCGAGGACTTCTTTCTGAAGCTCTGTATGTTAGAAGAAGATGTAGCTTCCGGTGCAAGGTACCCTGCTTACCAAGACCTTTGATCTTTGTCTCTAAGTTAGAGGGGCTGACAAATCTGTGAAAAGAATCTGGAGGAGTCACATTAGTTTTGTGTACTGCTATTGGAGGTTTGCAAGGGTTCAGCACATGACAAAGTAAAAACTAGGATTTTTCTTGTTCTAGCTTGCTGGCTTACAAAGTCCACAAAAACAAAGAAAGGGGAAATGGAACAATATGCTTTTGTTTTTGGAGCCATCTGTGATCCACTGGTCTTGTAAGCTCTAGGGCAGTGGTTCTCAACCTGGGGGTCGTGACCCCTTTGGGGGTCGAACAACCCTTTCGCAGGGGTCGCCTAAGACCATCAGAAAACACATATTTCCGATGTGTAAAGAGCAGCTACTGTGTAGAAAGCAGCTGCTGTGTTGAAAGCAGCTACTCTGTTAAAAGCAGCTACTGTGTTGAAAGCAGCAGTATTGGAGGTAAAACGACACTCATGAATTATAATTACTGGGAAAATAATTTTCTGGTTGGGGGTCACCACAACATGAGGAACTGTATTAAAGGGTCACGGCATTAGGAAGGTTGAGAACCACTGCTCTAGGGTATCTTTTGTAAAATGGGATTGACATGACACCTCCCGCTGTGTCTAAGAAAGCAAGTCCTTGTAAGTTCCCTTCAGTGCTTAGTTCTCTAAGTTTCTGATAGGCCTTGTTAGATACAATCTATTGAATCTTTTGAATGGCACACTTTTATTGCTTCTGCTGAGACATTCATCAAGTCTATCCCAGATGATTTTAACCGCCTCCCGCCCGCCATATAAGGTAATGACGGGTGCAAGGCGGTTCTCTCGTTCTAGGAGGATGTCATATAACGTCCTCCCATTCTATCTGCTTTTGCTCAGCTCCGGGAGCGCGCAGCAGCGATCGGTGGTGCGCTGTGTCCCTTGGACACAGCAGATCACCGATCAACGGAAAGAGCCGAAGATGTCAGCTCGGTCATGTGATCGGCTGTGTCCAATCACAGCAGATCGCATGTAAATAGGGAAATGCCGGTTATCGGCAATTCTCTTCTCACAAGCTGTCATGCCCCAGAAGTGCCACCTGTGAGTGTCCATCAATGCCACCTGTCAGTGCTCATCCATGCCACCTGCCAGTGCCCATCAGTGCCACATCAATGCCACATATCAGTGCCTACCAGTGCACATCAATGCAACATATCAGTGCCCATCTGAGCTGCCTTTCAGTTTCAACTATCAGTGCCAATCAGTGCCAGTCAGTGCCACCTATCAATGCTGCCAATCAGTGCCACCTATCAGTGCCAGTCAGTGCCACCTATCAGTGTGCATCAGTGCCACATATCAGTGCCCGTCAGTGCTGCTTATCAGTGCCGCCTATCAGTGCCAGTCAGTGCCACCTATCAGTGTGCATCAGTGCCACCTATCAGTTCCTGTCAGTGCTGCTTTTCAGTGCCGCCTAACAGTGCCAGTCAGTGCCATCTAACAGTGCCATTCAGTGCAGTCTATCAGTGCCAGTCAGTGCTGCCTATCAGTGCCACCTATCAGTGCCATATATGAGTGCTGCCTTTCAGTGCCCATCAGTGATGCCTGTCAATGCCCATCAGTGCCACCTACCAGTGCCTCCTCATCAGTGCCACCTTTCAGTGTCCATCAGTGCAGCCTATCAGTGCCCATCACTGCAGCCTCATTAGCGCACATCAGTGAAGGAGAAAAATCACTTATTTACAAAATTTTATAACACAAACTAAGAAAAAACTTTTTTTTTCAAAATTTTCAGTGGTTTTTTGGTTTGTATAGCAAAAAATAAAAAACCCAGAGGTAATTAAATACCACCAAAAGAAAGCTCTATCTGTCTAAAAAAATGATAAAAATTTCATATGGGTACAGTGTTGCATGACCGAGCAATTGTCATTCAAAGTGTGACAGCGCTGAAAGCTGAAAATTAGCCTGGGCAGGAAGGGGGTATAAGTGCCCTGTAGGCAAGTGGTTAAGGCCAGTGTCTGGGTAGTTTATATTTATTGTCCTGATTCACCTAGCATGTTCAGCTTACTCGTTTCCAAGCCATTTGATCAAGAGGTCTATCACTTACTACATGACAGGTCTAAGTCTCTGTTAGTGTTTTGGAAAGAATATTGACAGGCTCTGTAGCATTCAGGTTGGTCGTTAAACTTTTCAAGTCATTTTGTGACCAACTTTTGTCATGCAAAGAACATGGCAAAGTTTACCATGACTTGATTAGCTGGCTTTGCATTGCTATGGTGAAAAGGTGATGTGTAATCATAACTTTTACGAGTCTCTGGTTTAACCCAGTCCCTGTCATACCATTCTGATGTGAAGGCTGGACCTGGAGGATAATTTATAGATTCTGGTACCTTGCATGTAAGTTGTCTGTTAAGAAAGGTTCTCTTGTTTGCAAATTTGAGATTCGTTGCTGACTTGTGGTGGTGTTCGGTTTGTCTCCAAAACGTTGTCTTTGTTGCCGCTTGGCCTGGAATGCTGACGGGCGTAATCTGTAGTGCGTTGTAGGGGAGCTTGAGGTTCAGCTTCTGAACCAAGCACACTGCTGCATCTGCTGTGTTCACTATCAAGGAATACAGCAAATTCTTAGGTTCTTGCTTTGGTTAGAGCGACCCCCCCACTTCTTTCTCTACAGTAAGCCTCTCTAGGTTTGCTTCTAGTAGGGTTTCTGCATTTCACAATGCACTCTCTCAGCCTCTAATAGTGCTCTCTCAGCCTCTAAGTGTGCTTTTTGTTGCGCCTTCTCGGCCTCTAAGCATGCACTCTTTTTCATCTGAATTTCTTGCTCGGCAAAGGCTGCTGTGGCTTTTGCGGAACCAAAAACTGGGGACCTTGTTTTAAGTGAAGGTGTCTGGTTATTTGACATGCTACTTGTGGAGGTGCTTGACTGTGAAGAGACTTCTGTGTTGCCAATTGCAGGTAGCTTCTTTGACAGTGTAGCAGGCCTCTGTGTAGCCACTGTGTATCCTGCTGCTGGGTAGCCGCTGTTTCACTGTTCTGTCCTCACTACATGTTTCACTTTGTGTAACTTGACATGCAGCTAAACCCTTTTATTCTGCAATAAGCCACACTGAATGTAATCTTGAAGCTTTATTAACAAAACAGGGTGGGTAAAAATATTAGGGAAAAACAGATAAGCTCTAGCTCTGATGAAGGGGGCCAGCTTCCCCAAAACGCGTCAGTTGGCTGTGTTATCCTTCTGCTAGTTGGACTGGAGGGTGGATGAATGCACTTCGTGGCTGTGTATTACATGCCTTTAGCTTACTGGGCTTGTGAGTATGATTTTACTTACTTCGCCAATAAAGTGCCCAAAGATTATGCACTAGGCATTTGCACCCTCTCTGTTCTTGTTGTTGTAGTACTGGATTTCCCCAATTCAAAGAGGGCTGCACTGCCTAACCCTTCCAGATTGTGTTGTTTGACTTTGACTTCACCCTGTTTTACAAGATGGTGGCCTCAATATACCTTTTGAGCATTTGAGAGCTAATAGTGTCACGATTTTATTTCATTTCTTGATAATTCTAATATGTGTCCTCTGTACCATGTACTTGTATGAAAAAATATTCTGCTGTCTTTATATTGCTTCATTTGTGTGAAATCCCTGGTGTTCTTGACAGTACCTCTGCTTTCCTATTAAAAAATGATTACAATAGGCATGAGAGCACAGCATGGTCCTTTCTCTAGCTATGCTGGGAACTCAGTGTGTTCTCCTCCAATGATCAGACTTCTGCTGACACCCCCCACACCCTTTCACTGGGATGATTAGTGTGCTCCCGGAGCTGACGCCAGAGGGTATGTGATCACTTTAAAAAAGGTAAAAAGGTGCATATAATGTTTTTTTTTTTATATGAATACACAAATGTTTTGCCTTTAATTTCTATTTTTGGCTTTAATGTTTGCATTGTGCCTTGCATGTTTGAATTCTATATTTCAATAAATAAATTCCATTCAGTCAAAATAAAATAAAGACCCAATTGCCAAATTTCCTTTTCAAAATATTTATTTTAATAGCACCTGGAAATAAGAACCAGCAGAGCTTGGTCATTGACCAACAAAGATTGTGTGGAATGCATCAGTAGCTCTGCTAGTTCTCATTTTTACATGGTATTTTCATAAATAAATAGAAGATCAGTTCAGTAAGTGCAGACTCCTACTTATTGGATTATGACATGTTTTGGCCGACAACAAGCTATGTCTGCACCTAATAATTGCTGCTGTGTAGTTACAAGCTTCCACATCCCAGAGCTGTAGAATTTATATTTCTTTAATGGAACCTGAAAGCACTCTAAATATAAAAATGTATCTAGGACCACTAATCATTCCACTTTATCAACAGTACATTAAAATGCTGAGTCTAATTAAACATCGTAAGTAGCAGTTCTTCAATAAAATAAAACAGAATTTGGTGAATACCTCTGACCAACAGCTGCAATAAGGTTAATATGCAGTCACCATTTACAGTGACTTGTATTGTGAGAATATTTACTTGTGGCCGAAAGGATTAGCAGAGAGCTTTCTGCATCTGTTTACTGACAATAAAAACAGCAGCTGTGTTGAGCAGCAGACTAACAGGTGGCTAACATTCACGCTGAATGCTAAACTTTACATGGGTTTTTAACAGATTTCTGCGCAACATAAATACTTAATGTATTTTAATGCTGCACCTCCTGCCTCCATTCTTGCTACAAAATACATTTGGATTCTCTTTCTCAGAGTGTCCTTTCAAAATCTGGAACACGCTTTCGCTGAAAGTTTAGCAAATGAATCAGATTTTCCACATCTTGAGTTAATTGTTGCAGATGTGTTTCAAAAACCTGTTCAGTCACACAATTCAGCAACTGTTCAATATCAGATTTACAAGTGAAAAGCAAGATAATTGTAAAGTGTATCACATTTGAAGTGATAACATATAATAAAAAAATACTACATTAAAATTTATCTTAAAAATGTAGATTTACTTTATTTAAAGTGGAACTTCACCCAGAAGAAGTTTTGCTTTTCCGCCTCCTCCCCCCAACTCTAACACCTTTGGATACAATTTTTTTGGGGGAAGGGGGGGTGGGTTTGTAATTTGAAAGGTACCTACTCCCACTTCTCGGATCGCCTAGGCAATCTAAGCAAACGTTCAGACCCCCCCTCTCTTTCCCTGCAGCTTTTTCGGGACATGTCACAGGTCACGGAAACCTGCAAGCACCATTCACAAAGCACAGCAGGGCTTGCACATGCGCAGTAGGAAGCTGGCTGTGAACCCGCTAGGACTCACAGCCAACCTCCCACAGTAAAGATGCCAACGTTGGGGATCTGAAGACTGGTAAAGAAACCAGTTGGGTGAGAACAGTGCTGGATCCCTGGACAGGTGAGTTTCCTTTTACTAAAAGTCAGCAACTACAGTATTTGTAGCTTCTGACTTTTAATTTTTTGGGAGCCACTGAAGATTTTCTTTAAGTCAATTTTATTATATGTGGCCTTACAGTGTGTGAAGTCCGTTAACAAGCGATAAAGTGTTTCAGCTAATTTACAATCATTTGTAAAAAGATAGGATGCAGTGGTGACATGACAGCAAGGAAACTGAAGACAATGTACTTCAATTTTCTTTAACACAAATATGATTCTAAAAAAAACTGTATTTCATGCCACATGGCCTTAAATAACGGAAAAAAAGAACATTTGAGTAGGGTGCCTAGCTTCTTCTATATAGGAAATACTCATACAATTACCTTCACAAATACATTTCCAGTTACCAAAATATCATACCACACTTTATATATATATATATATATATATATATATATATATATATACCAAATCCAACAAAGCAAGAATGAGAGCCACTTAAATCAATTTATAACTAGAAAAAAAGTGCACATGGCCAGGGAAACACATCGCACAATTCATAAATTACTCAGCACACGTCAAGCTAATCAGCACAAAAAGCCCAATTTAGCAGTTTTAACATTTTAGGCTAAATATGGCTTCATACGTATTTACAAATGTAGCACATTTTCATTTGTTAGTTATAACTGAACTGAGCAGCTGTCATTTTTTGCACTGAACTATTGATTGCTTCCCATAGCAGCCATCAGCTTCTGTCTGTCATTTTTTCAGTGGAGACTTTAAAACAATAAAAAGATTCTGACTGGTTGTTATGTGCAACAAGAATTTTTGTTGGAGTCATTCTGCATACATGAACCCCTTTTTCTGTTACTGACAGATTATCTCACACTTAAGATTTCACAGATGCTGCACAATATAATACAGTATACCCCCCCCCCCCACACCTTCTTTACCTGAAGGACTAGAATCCCAATATTTTGCTAAATCAAATAGGCTTTTCCCCAAGTACTGACTAATGCATAAGAGGTATAGCCAAACAGATGACAGACGTTTCTGGTTTCAC